AGCGACTCCTCTAACAAAATGTTCACCTGTGCCGTAGTATCGTTTTTGAAGCGGGAAGCTTAAAAAAACGCAAATTTCTTACGCAGATTGTGAAGATATGAGTGCATTTCAGACTTTGCCGATGCGCTCATCGTGATTTCTGAGGCATTATCTATAAGAAACAACTCTTATTTTTGCTCCAGCAAAAGTTTGCAACAGGCCCATTTTACCTAAAGATTCTGAAAATTTAGAGGAAAAATATTCATAACTTGCCTATAAAATAAATATCATATTGAGGGAAATTTGGCAACTCTCGAATATTCATACGGCGTTCTTCCTGAGCACGGCAGTGTTGGGGACGATGATGGTGGCGTTCCATCAAAAAGGTCTCATCAAGATTGCGTGGGTATTGATGATCATGACATAGATGTTGACGACCATTTTGACATTTCGGTGAACTCTCGTTTCTGCTTCGAAGCGTAAAAGCCTACTTAGAGACGCCAATTGTCTATTTCAGGACTTCAAATGCTAAAAAAAAGCTGCGAGCTTACGTGAGACTCGATGTGCGCGTATTGGGATAGTCCTATGACCCCAAAGTGACGTATTTTGCCGAACCCGTGACGCGCACGCAATATCCGCACAAAATTGTGAATCATATAGTTGCCGCTCTTATTTTTAAGGATAATGAGATCACACCCTGATATTACATGGAATGTATAAATATATATAGGTCTTTCGAGCTTGCGTTATGCCAAGTCAAATATTCCAGATTGTAATACAGATGCAAAGAAAAGAGAAAAAGAAATTCAGACTGACATCATATGGACCGCGTTTAACAGAAAGGAACCAAGCCACATCAGCTACTGCCAACTTTAATTTAGCAATTTGATTTTTTACATTAAATCGGTTGTGCAGATTTTTGTGCAAATTTCAGTGAAAATTCTCCATAGGTTGAAGCAAATTCCCTAAAAATTTGAAAGGAATCCGTACAAAAATTTTCTCGTAAAAAATTTAATTGCCCAATTAAATTTGGCAATAGCTGATGTGGCTTGGTTCTTTTCTGCTAAACCCGGTCCATATCTTCATGCACCTAATAGCACGTCAATGGCCAAAGTGCAAAACCGTACCTCGAAAACGTACCTACGTTGCTGCGTTACAAAATTTCCGCTTTTTGTTCACTTTTTCGAGGAGAAGCAAGCCAACTTAATGGCTTGAAGTGGGCATGGAATCTTCTACTAATAGGAAAGAAAAATCAAGGAGGTTTTCAATAAATTACGCTGACTAGTTTTCCAAAGAAAAAATCAAATATGACAGAAAGTACACTACGTTGCAAACGGAAATAAGTGGTATCGCACTTTAGCCACCGATTTATAGAGTACATGGAAAAAACAACTTAGCGCTGAGCCCTAATGATGTAGATCAAATGGAGCCAACCAAGGACAGTTGTGCTGAGCCCTACAACTGGATTACATTTTGCAATTTGGAACTACAAATTCTAGCCCGGTTTAAAAACAACGTATGTGCCATTAGTTTCCCTATGCACACAAGTGTTTTTCCAGAAGAGTCAGAGTTTATGGTTCCAAATTGCAAAATGCAGTCCAACTTTAGGTTTGCAACTTTAGGGTTACTGTCTTTAGATGACTACATTCGGACTACATTTTGCAATTCGGAACTATACATTTTAGCCCAATTTAAAAACAACGTATGTGCTATTAGTTTCTCTATGCTTATAAGTGTTTTTCCAGAGAGCCAGAATTTACAGTTCCAAATTTCAAAATGCAGTCCATTTGATCTAAAGTGTTAGGGCTCATCGCTAAGTTGTCATTTTCGTGTAAAATAGGTTAGAGGCTAAAATCACAGAATCGCACGTTCTCGTGGATGATGGTTACAGACTGCGGTTTGATTCGTTATTGATCGCTAATGGAGGAATGCTTTTAATGAGTTGTCAATTCGTCGAACATTAAGACTCGAAAAAAGCGAGGTTTTATCAAATAGGGGGGAGGGCGCTTTTAATTATTACGTGTGTCACTTGGAAGGGAAGGGGGACTGAGCTTGTATTATCTGACCAAGCCTAACCAAACGTACCCACCTCACCTCCCGAAATCGTACGGGATGTATGAACTTGCCTCAGAGGTGATGTATAAATGCGTTTTTGAACACGGTTCCAGACTTGCGTTGCCATGGCGAATCGTGCTTCACAATGAATTATTATTGGTTAATCTGCCTTTTAAAACTATGGAAAAGAATCGATCATCAGGGTGTTCGCAACAATTGAACACCTTAAAATAGATTCTTTACCCTTGCTATAAACGGGAAAATATCGATAAATGGACTACATTTCGCAATTTGTAACTATAAATTCTGATCCGGTTTAAAAACAACGTATGTGCCATTAGCTTCCCTCTGCACCTGAGTGTTTTTTCAGATGAGCCAGAATTTAAAGTTTCAAATTGCAAAATGCAGTCCAAATGATCCACGCGTCGCCTTCGTTAGAATCATCAAGAATGGCTTCTGTAGCACAGGAAGACTTCAAAATCTGGAGCACATACTGTCTACAAAGGGAAAAAAAAATTCGCTTGGACCTAGAGTCCAGACTCTTGAAAACAGTGACAAGAAAAAATACTCTTGATTCAATCGGATTTTTGCTTGAATCAAAAATCCGCTTAATTAAGAGGCTTGGTTCTTGATCTAAGCAAAAAGTCCGATTGAATCAAGAGTACTTTTTCTTGTCAATGTTTTTAAGAGTCTGGACTCTTGATCCGAGCGACTTTTTTTCTAGTGTAGTCCTGTCACAAAATAGCACATAATGATAATGAAGATTTCATTTCACACCTACTTCACGCTTTTTCCGCGTTAAATTATTTTTTAAAAAAGTAAATGTCCAAGGTGACAACCTCGCAGAATCCCGCGTCAAGCCGGGATTTAGCGTGCCTTACGCTGATGCGAGCCGCCAAAAAAAAATGATCCTCCCATTTTCCCGTCGGCGTCTCCGTGACGCACGCCTAACGCTTAAATAGGCGCGGCAGAAAGTTCCTCTCCCACAGTCGCTACAACCTCAACCATGTTCATCCAACGAACCTCGTGCCTCGTGATTTTGTGCTCCCTCGTGGTAGCAGTGTATTCCACCGGCACTCCTCGTAGTGGTAGTGGGGCGGCATCACCCGCCAGACCCGAAGGAACCCGCCTTACCGACATAGAGAAGGCACTGGCCGCCGCCCAAGAAAGGATCAAGGAGCTCGAAAGTAAACAGCAGTATATACAGCAGCAACAGGAGGAAATTCACCAACAGCAGAAGAGGCTGGCGGAGCAAGAGGAGGAACTTAAGCGGAAGGCGGCGGAACTGGAGGCGGCCAGGCAGGCGGCTTTGGAGGCGGAGAGGGCTGCCGCCAGACAGGTCGGATACGAAACTGAGAGGCCGTCCGGTCTTCCTCGCTCGGAGACTTTCCGTTGGAGAGGCGGTTTTGTCGATTTCAGCTCGCCTAAGGTCTTCGAGCAAGTGGTGAGTTTAATCTTTCGTATAAGTCTTGTACAACCTAAGAAATATGACTAAGAGTTGGTCGCAAGAGTGAGCATCCTATCCCCAAAATAAAATCCTTACGACATCTAGAGTCCCTTTATAGGGAGAGTTGAGACAACGCGGCTTATGGATGTCACAAACGGGAATGAAGAACACACAAACCAAACTTTTTTGGGATCTTTGATCAACCCATTCCCGAATTCTTAGCTCAGTTCCCTCTCTCGTTCCATTTGTTCCTTGCCGCACCCCATTCCCAGGTCCATTCTAGTTCATTTATAATCTTTGCAATTGATGAAAATGTAATCTTTATTCCCGGTTTTGACACTGTGAAGGCCTAAAATAGGGAACCAATCAGAAATGAATTCACATTGTCTTTACTCTCATAATAAAGGGACTCTAACGACATCCATTTGCCCCTGCCAACGACACGTGTTTACCAATCCAAATCATCTCGTGTGTACAAGGACCTTTCTTTCACGTACCAGTGTTCAAGTCGGAAAACCCTGCACCAACTTGCCGATCCTGATACCTATGTCCACCTCTCACCTCTAATACAGTGTCATTTTCAACATATAGGGGTTGACGTCGCATTCTCATCGCGAACCTGATCTTTTTTTGCAATTCCTACTGACAGCCTCCAGAAATCCTTCTCAATGAATCTTCGCAAATCCTGCATTTGTTTCTTCATCTGCCGAATCCAAGACCCATGAGTTAAAACACTTTTCACTGTAGCGTTTCCAAACCTCATTTCGTTATTTTATTCCGACACTCGTATACTACAGCAGATTCACCCCCTCTCCACATCTCTCCTCAATGTCAAAAATACAAGTAACACACTGTTCGCATTCTGAAAATTATTTTAAGTCAAATTTGACTAAATTTTACTTAATTCGACCCTACCCGACTCAAAAATGACTCTGATTCACTCTTTACACTGAGAATAGAAAAGTTTGGTGACAGTTACTGAAATGCCGAGGTTTCCGGTAACGGAAACGGAGCTTCGGTTCGTACGACCGAAAACCTTGGTTATCTGAATCGATCGCGACTCGCGAGTGGCTAACGCATTGAATTTTAAAAAACTAGATCCGAGTTTGATCCTAGACAACAGTGACTAAAATTCACGGGTTTCAACAGCTTTTCACAGAAATGTTTGGTTAACTATACCGGAGAAAATTAAACGCGGGCGGATTGTTGGAATTGACAGACAAAGCTGTATACAAAGGAGACAAAAAGGATATGGAGGGATCCTATTGGTGGAAGCCGATGGTTGCAATGGACAAAGGACGTAGGTAATAGACTAACCAACGTCAACCCGCGACAGACCCGAGGGGTTAGTCCATCATTTACCCCCTTATTATTTAAGAACCACCAGTGTCAACCAATAGGATGCCCTAGGAAGCAACAGACAAAGAAAACACAGGGGGTATGGAGCGATCTTATTGGTTGAAATGGCTTGTTCTTTTAGACTAAGTGAGAGAATGATGGACTTAGTCTTATTACTTAATTCCTATGTCCATTGGAACCACCCGCTTCTACCAATAGGATCGTTCCATACTCCCTGTGTCCTCTTTGTCTATCCTTTTGTCTATCGATGTCAACAATCAGCCCGCTGAACGTTTAAATTTTACCTCCCATATTAACATAAAACGGTTACTTTTTCTGACTGTGTATCTTTTCGATCGAATTGCAGTGTGACTACAAGAAGGTCCAGGCCCAGGACGAAGACCGTCACGTGAAGTGCAGGGAGCAGTGCGTTCTCCTATCGCTTCGAGTACAACAGATACAAAAGGAATACCCGCAAATGGTGGGGTTAAAAAACCTCGCGAAGGATTGCTCGGACTTCATCGGGGGTGTCTGCGACAAATCTTACACTCTTCCTGGGAAGCGTCACACCTCCCTTTGCACCTGCTACACCGCACAAAAAGCCGGTGAGGAGCTGCCACGCACACACCTCGCATCCTACTGCCGCGCCCATATGACAGGCTCCAAGATCTTCCACAACGTCGGGGTAGCCACGAAGCCGATCCGCAACCAAGTCAGCAAGTGGCACAAGAGCTGGCAGGAGAGACGCAGGGCCAAGAAGGCCGCAAAGGCCGAAAAAGCAGCCGGTTCGAATTGAGTCAGCGTAGAGCACCTCCCCTCGGTAGTGTCAGAGATCGAGCGAACTGAATTGAAGAGAAAGGAGTCAAGTTGTATTGTGGAGACAGTTATGAGGTAGGAGTAATTCTAAGTTTAAATGGACCGCGTTAAGCAGAAAGGAACCAAGCCACATCAGCTATTGCCAAAGTTAACCTGACGATTTGATTTTTTACATGGAAAGGGTTGGGAGGATTTTAGTGCACATTTAAGGGAATTTTCTGCATAATAAGAGGCAAATTCCCTAAAATTTTCAAAGGAATCCATCCACACGTTCTCTTGTAAAAAATTGGAATGCTCGGTCAAATTTGGCAATAGCTGATGTGGCTTGGTTCCTTTCTGCTAAACGCGGTCCAAATAACTCCCTAAATTTCTCCCCAGAAATAGATACAGTACATTGACGACGAAACTCCGTAACCACATTTTTCGATTTTCAACTTTGAGGATTTTCAGTCAGATTTTGTCTCTTAGATGGAAAACCACTCAACGGCAATTTTTAAAAACCGTCGTGATTTTTCGTGATCTTTTTTGATATGACTTGGTTCTTTTCTGTTAAACTCTGTCTAAAGATCGTATCCCTGCTCATAAAACTTGGAAAACGCTCAATAAACAGAAACAACTTTTCAACTTTAAGTTCTTCCTTTGAATAAAACCTAGAATATTCTATTCTTCCTGTCCTGTGGCTCAGAGTTGCTCTATTAGGTACCTGATTTAGCTTTTAGTGGTATTTTTGCACCATAGAAAATTTAGGTATCGCTTTTCAAAACATTTAAGAAAAGCGCCCTTTTTGTGTGACTTGTTCTATCAATCCTACCATTTTACGTTTTTAGAATTACTTGAGATTTTTATACCTCTTATGTTCATAATATATAAATGAATGAAAACTATTTGAGAAGTAAGAAGTAAGTATACTTGAATCCGAAAGTAACCAAGTATCATGAATGGCATAGGCATTGAATTTAGTCTTACAATAAACGTATCGTGTACATATTATTTTTACCGTATCAAGTTCCTATCATAGCAATATACGATTTTTCATATATTTCCATTCATTTTACTTTTTATATTGGAGTAAACGTGTTTTAAAAAAATGTGTGTAGCGTGTGTAAAAGTACCAAATAAAATACAATGCTTTATAATGTAGCATGAAGTTATTTATATTATTTTGAGGCTCGATTTTTTTTATGTGCTAGTGACGTAGAGTACTTTTTGTGAGTACTCGTCATCTCCTAGTTAATACCTGCAAAACTATTTAAGCTTTTAGATATATTCTAAATTAAACCTTTTAGGATTCGTTCAAATATTTCACTCGTTAATTAAGGGGGGAGGGGACAGTCTGGTTGAAAGCTTGCCTTATGTACGGGGTCTTACGAGGGGAGGGGGGGGGGGGGGGGGTAAAGCTCACTCCTCCGTTTACCTTCCACATGGAAAAGGAAAGAGAAAAAGGGCAATTTCAATGCAGATAATTATGTCCAGCTATTTTTCAGGCTTTCTGTTATTTTCTGAAAAATTGAGAGGGGTGATAGGCTATTTTTGCGTAATTCAAAAGTAGATAAGAGGTTGGTTAACGGTTTATACAAAGAAAGGTGAGAGGGCGGGCCAAAAAGTTGGTCAAAATGACTTCTAAAATACTTGAACGGCTCATTGTGTCAAAGTAGCTGAGACAGAAAAATGCAAAAAATTTAATGCTGAAATAAAAAATAGCAGACTAATACAAATTATTTACAATTAGTCATTACGTTTATAGTCTTCGTATATCTTAATGGATTTTATCACCTATTAAATTTATTGTAAATTATAATATTAGACTGATTAGTTGTATTCGAGTGAAATTCTTGTAATAAAACTATCTTCAGAAAAACACCATGCATATTTTTACCATTATCTGAAGCCGTTTCAGTTCGAAGAGAGATTACACTCAGATACATACCTGAAACAGATAATAACAAATTGAATAAAAATAATGATTTTAAAACTAATGGAAACCTTGCTGTGAGATGAGATACTAAACATTATCTAGAATTTGCTTCTAAGAATGTCATGCGGGAACGTGAGGAGAAACAGGGCCAAATGTACCTTTATGGGTCAAAATAAAAATAAAATAAGTGTGCCATAGCTTACAAAGTTTAATTTCGCATCAATTGACGCAAAAATCAACCATTGGTGCCAAAAAATTACGCTATGACACGGTTCAAATTTCAAGGACAAAAAGCGGAAAATTCGGAATTGCAGTGGGACTCGAAGTTTATGTCATATGGATCTCTGAAGTTTTCAGATTGAGCATCTGAACACTTTAGATCTAGCTGTCGAGGTTCGGATCCCACATCTGAAACTTCAGTACTTACATCTGAAGTCCTTCAGATGTGAGAACCGAAGTTTTCCGGATGTGAAAACCGAAGTACTGCACATGTAAGAACTGAAGTTTCAGATGTGTGATCCAAACCTCAGCAGCTGGACCACAAGTGTCCGGATGCTCAATCCGAAAACTTCAGAGATCCGTAGGACCTAAACTTCGGGTCCCACGCACGAAGTTTTTTTCTCCGTGTGCGTTACGTAATACTTGAATCAGCATCTACCAAGGGGTTGGGTTGCGTAGCGGCCAGTAAACTCCCCGCTACAAGTAAACGCTCGTTTTTCGCAGCACAAACACATTCTCATGGATCCGCGAACCGAACACACATAATTATTGCAAGGAGATTACTCCTGGTGTTGCGGCGGACCGCAGGTTGAGTGGCGTTAAACGCTGCTCGCATCGGCTGCTGTTCTGCGGTCTGGACCGGGCACCGGGGTGCGAAAACAATCCCGAATACGTGAGCGAACCGCACACCGCTCACCACTCACCACTCATCAGTCAACAACCCCGTCATTACCGGCAACAGCTCTTGCCGTCGGAAAACGGACCATGCTATTCGCCCGGCCCGGAAAAATTGAGGGAGAAAAGACGGGGATCTTCTATGTATATCTCGTGTGCACGGACACATTTACGGAAATGTCTTGACTATTTGACGGCGTATATCGGCGTTGCCAGTCGAAAGGTCTAGTGGCTGGAAATCGTTGTATACCTTCAGGTGTTGAGTCGTAGCCCGTAATTTGATCAAAGATTAAGAAAAACGTTAAATTTGTTTAATCTTTACTCACGTTTGTGACATCCATGAGCCGCGTTGTCTCAACTCTCTCTCTCTCTCTCTCTCTCTAAGAAGGGACTCCAGTTGCAACCAGAGTCCTTTTATACTGAGCGTTGAGACGACACCCCCTCATGGAGTCACAAACGGGAATAAAGATTACAGACATTGAACGTTTTTTGTAATCTTTATAATCAACCCATCCCCGAATTCCTATGTCCGTTCCCTCTCTCATTTCATTTGTTCCTTGACGTATCCTTTTTGTCCCGGTCCATTCCAGTTTATAATATTTGCAACTGATAATAGAGATTGAAACTGAATAAAGATTACAGACATTGAACGTTTTTTGTAATCTTTATAATCAACCCATCCCCGAATTCCCATGTCCGTTCCCTCTCTCATTTCATTTGTTCCTTGACGTATCCTTTTTGTCCCGGTCCATTCCAGTTTATAATATTTGCAACTGATAATAGAGATTGAAACTGAATAAAGATTACAGACATTGAACGTTTTTTGTAATCTTTATAATCAACCCATCCCCGAATTCCTATGTCCGTTCCCTCTCTCATTTCATTTGTTCCTTGACGTATCCTTTTTGTCCCGGTCCATTCCAGTTTATAATATTTGCAACTGATGAAACTGTAATCTTTATTTCGGTTTGAGAAACTGCTTGGGCCTAAAATATGGGAACGAATCAGAAATGGACTCGCATTGTCTTCACTCTCAGTATAAAGGTTCTCAACCTCTACCCATCTCCTAGAAGACGGCAACGCGGTAACAGAACTCCGATGGGCCGCTCGGCTGGAAGCCGCGAGAAAGACGATAGGGCGAGGGGGTGGGGGTGCGGAGTATCAATTGAAACGTTGGAAATTAATCAAATAAAACGGATGCTGCATGATAGAGGAACCGAGCCACGATCGGGCGAGTTGGCGAACCTCTCTTTCTCTCGCGTCCGAATGATTTCACACGAGATGGTGCCGGTGTCCGTGCGCCCATTCGCGGTGGAGCATCCGTGCATTCTTGGATTGGGCTCCACTCTCCGGTTCTGTTGTCAGATCTCCTTGGGGACTGCAAGATCGGATGCGCCCGATCTTCAATTTCTGGAATAGTCGATGAACTGGCCCTCGCCCTCGTGTGAGGACATGAAAAAATAAACCACGACGTACAGACCGAATAGTTTCAATAGGTACTCGGTGGTTCAGCATACAATCCCTTTAGACTGAGAGTTAAGGCAACATTCCAATTTGAAGCTGTGGAAGAGAATAGATTATTACGGTGTGTCTGACGCAATGCGTGAAGTATTCATGCAGTCTTGTAGGCGCTATGCGTTATACGGCGACCGCTGCTGACCGCACTGTGTTTGACGCTATGCGTGAAGTATTCCCGCAGTCTTGCAGGCGCTTTGCGTCTCACGCTGATCGCACTGTGTTTGCCGCAATGCGTGAGGTATTCATGCATTCTTGTAGGCGCTATCCATTTCACGCTGTCCGCAATGACCGCACTGTGTTCGATGCAATGCTTGAAGTATTCGTGCAGTCTTGTAGGCTCTAATAAGTGTTGCATGCCGACCGCCCTGCCGAGTGCCTCTCCTTTTCATCTCAAGTCCTCGTCATCATTGCTCTCTGCGCCGCGCCGCTCCAGGTCAAATTGCGTGTTTGGTTTCTCTCTCAACTAGACTAATGAAAGGGCAGCCAACCTTCTGACACAAAAATGTCACTGACAAAATTCACATTCCAATGTCAGACCAAAACGGCCAAGAATGTTCTTAAAAGAGCGTTATGGCCAAATTGCGTGTTTGGTTTCTTTCATAACTCGACTAATTAAAGGCGCTGTCTTTTGTATCATCGCAAAACGACAAAATTAGAAATTACGATACTCACAGGAAATGCAAGATTTTGTCGCCTTCTCCCGTTTGCAATTTTATTTTTATACCTAAATTTAAAAAAAAATTTGCAAAATTTGCCGCCCCCTAGATCGAAGAAATTCTAAGATTTCCGAAATGCAAACACCTACTTTTTTTCTCTATGACACTCACTGCTCTCTTCGCTACAAAGGCGGTATTTATGAAGATCCCCAATGGTCAAAATTCACATAGCGAAGGCGGCAACGCTGCTTGACAGCTCCTGCTCACACGATGAGCTAAGTTCCCATAAGCCACCGGGAGTCCGGCGCAGCGCCTAGCGCGGATGTCTACGGTAATATATTGTAAATACAGTAATTTTCCGGGGCCCGGGCGTAATTGAATCCGATCCTTTATACTAATGTTTATTCCTCTCGGGCCCGGCGCGACGTGCCGCTCAACGGCGAGCATCCACCGTCCACCGGTGGCATCCGCGCCCGGTGAACGGTGAGCCCTCGGACCGCAGACCCATGCGTTATCGGCCGTGGCTAGTGGTACTCCGAGAGTCGTGAGGGATTGCGGAGTCTGTGGGAACTTGGTCACCCGAGCCTGGATGAGGATGAGCGTTCGGCGCGGCGGTTTTAGGTATTTTCGGACCCGCCATGACCGATGCATGCCGTTGCCTCGCTCCGCGGGAACGTGTGATCGCTGGTGTTCGCGCTTGTGGTCTCCACTCACGAAGAGAGCTGAAGGAGGTTTCCGTCTACAAATGAACGTAACTCTGCCGAAGGGCAGGGCCGGATTAAGGGGGTGGCTACATGAGCCTTGGCCTATGGCGGCAAAATGTAGGGGGCGGCAAATTTTGCAATATTTTTGAATGTAGGTATCAAAACAAGCGGGAAAGTTCTAATACTGTCGTATTAGAAAAGCGCTCAGGTGTTAGTAAAAGTATTTAATGAAGAAAGGACGTATAAACTCCGTCGACTTGGCTGGGAAATGGAAATAAAACATCAGCTGATAGCAAACAAAGGTTACCAAGGAAACCGTAAACGCGTATTTTTGTTTCCCGAAAATGAGCTCACCGCGTTGAGCTCATCAGGCGCGTTTTTTTTAGGCTTCATTTGAGTTCAACGATCAATTGCGATAAGAATTACTCTACCGCTAAGAAATTTTCTTATAGACAAACGA